GCTTTGGAAAAGATAGTTTTTATATAATAACGCTTTTGAAATATAGAAATGATCATTCCCAGAGATCTAGAGGAAAGCTTTGGACATGACAGTTTTTATGCAAACCTGTTTAAGTAAAAATGTGAGGGTACCTTTAAAACAGTATATTTTACTCAAAAACTGTATGTTTACCTACTTCCCAGCCCCCCCAGGGCCAGAAAACACCGGTAAAACACAGGGTTTCACCTCCCCACCGACACCCGCTCTACTTGGACGTTTTGCAGCCTCTACTTGGGGACAAGTGTCCAACGTTTTGCTTAACCCGCCAAAGCTTAGGATGTGTATGTCTACTACAGCTGATACTCGCAGCATTTTAACTCTTGCCATTGCGAAGTCTGGCCCCAGTCCTTGCAGTGAAGCTGGTTTAAAGACTGCTGGTTACTCCAGTTGCGCAAAGGAGCGCTCAGATCATTCGCGCTTTCTGACTTATTTGATGGCCAATCGTGCAGGCACAAAAGACAAAAAGGGCAAAGTAGGTCTATTCGCACGTTTCGTGAATACCGATACGATACTTGCTGCTATAGCTGTAGCTCTCCTTCTGGATGAAGGACGTGTGGCTGTACTTGGGATTGTAGCAACCCCTGAAACGTTTTCCCGATGAAGAGAGCAACTGGTGCAGCTGACGTTCAGGTCACGACTTGCAGAGAGATCCAAGCACACATGAAAAAGCGTTTCGGATCATTCCCATGGCCTATGGTGTAGTGTGACTCGTGTGACCTATTTTGCCCTTTCACACAGGGAGCTTGGCTCCCAGTGAATGGGAACATGCCCCAAGCCCTATATGCTCTTGGACAAAGAGATCAGAAGAACCATTCTAGTACTGTAGGAGGTTCCCCATGCAGCTGAAGTTGATGTTTGCCAAGTCTTTGCAATGCGTGTCACACCCAAGGCACCCACATCTTTGTTTAGTGTTGTTCAACAGGTTTCATGTTGTTGTTTTTCCCGAGAGCGTTTGCGAAGGGTTCTTCGTAAAAACAAAAAAACATCTGCAGAACTACGTCTCATCTACATCTTCACATCTTCACCTCCGCACATCCACATTCTGACCTATATCTCTGCTCATCTTCACATCTACATTCACAACTGCACATCTACATCTCTGCACATCTTCACAGCCTCGCATCGACATCTCTGCTCATCTTCATCTTCACACATCAACATCTCTGCTCATGTTCACATCCTCACATCTACATCTCACATCTTTACCTCTCATGTACATCTCACATCTTCACCTCTCGCTCTTCTTAACTTTCTCTCTTAAGGCCAGGGGCAGTGCCGCCGGACCGCCACGAAACGCAACCCTCTGCGGAGATCGTGCGTGTCGAGGGCGCGAAATGCAGGCGAGAGTGCGATTTGTCCCGGTCGCGGGCAACCCTCTGCGGGGATCGTGCGTGTCGAGCGCGCGAAATGCAGGCGAGAGTGCGATTTGTCCCGGTCGCGGGCAACCCTTTGCGGAGATCGTGCGTGTCGAGCGCGCGAAATGCAGGCGAGTGCGATTTGTCCCAGTCGCAGGCAAACCTCTGCACGTGCGTGTCGAGTGCGCGAAATGCAGGCGAGAGTGCGATTTGTCCCGGTCCGGCGCAACCGTCTGCGGAGATCGTGCGTGTCGAGGACGCGAAATGCAGGCGAGAGTGCGATTTGGCTTTGTCCGGCGCAACCCTCTGCGCAGATCGTGCGTGTCGAGGGCGCGAAGTGCAGGCGAGAGTGCGATTTGGTTTTGCCCGGCGCAACCCTCTGCAGAGATCGTGCATGTCGAGTGCGCGAAATGCAGGCGAGAGTGCGATTTGGTTTTGTTCGGCGCGACCTTCTGCGGAGATCGTGCGTATCGAGTGCGCGAAGTGCAGGCGACAGGGCGATGAGTCCCATGCACGCGTGTATCTGGGGAGCTGGAAGATGAGAACTGGCGACTTTGTACTGCAACTGTAGTACGCGGAGTAGCAGCTGGGGAGCTGGAAGATGAGAATTGGGGACTTTGTAGTAACGAGTGTCCCAAAAGAGTGCCCCGCAAGAGCTTCCCACAAGAGTGACCCACAAGAGTGACCCAAAAGAGTGTCCCAGAGAGAGTGTCCCACGAGAGTATCTTGACATGCTCACATCTGCATATGTACCTCTCCACCTCCACACATCTGCGCATCTATATCACACCTGCACATCCACACTGTCACTCCTTCACATCCGCCCTCTCCCTCTCTCTTTCTACACATCTTTTCACCTGCACATCCACACTGTCACTCCTTCACATCCGCTCTCTCCTTCTCTCTTTCTACACATCTTTTCTCTTAATATTTTAATTTGCATCCAGAGTCTGGGACAAGTCGATGTGAACTATCGGCTTACTCGGAATTGCTGGCAAATCCCCTGTTCACGGTGTTCCGTGGAGCAATTGAAGAGTTTGAGCCTGAAGCTGCGTCGAGCGATGACGTCTGGACAATCACATGTCTGGCTCTCGGGCCACCCGTCGTCTAGTTCTACATAGCTCATTTGAAACATATTGAATCCCCTATAGTGGGGATGTGTCTTCTTTGTCACACCGTCTCTCCGGGTCGGGTCCAGGCTCGACGATCGCTCGGAGCCAGGGGGTGAAGAATGGCAAGAACGTCCACAGTAAGTGACACATTTGCTGCGCAGGTGTGGAGATGTTTGGCGTGCTGGTTGATACAGACCTCATTGTACGGTTTGTGGGTCAAGCCTTTACAGGATTCCTGGCACTCTTGTCCTATGTGCTGGCCAACCTGGATATCGGCACAGAGGATTTGGTCGTTAAATTGGAAGAATCTGGACACTACTTCTCGGAGATGCTTCATCTACCGAAATAGTTATTGCTCAATCAGTGAGATTTGCTTCATACTGCGAAGGCAGCAAAGAAACAGGTTCCCTGAGCTTGATCGTCAAGGTTTGTACTAGCCTAGTTGCACCACACATCAGATATACAGTCTTCAATTTGTGTCTCTTAGAGAGTCTTAGAGTCAGGTGGCCCACTCTGCATTGGGGGGTGGTTGGAAAAGTCAGGTCGTGTTCTGCAGGCATTCCACCAACAAAAATCGGCAAACATCTTCGAAACACACACTTGAAATCTTTAGACGGTAGTGGGGAAGAATTTGAACCTGCATCGTTTGTTCAGCACGATCTTTGGGGTTTCTTTGCTTCGTCGGGCAATGACTTCTGTTAGCATTAATAGAGGCTTTGGAATTGCAAGGAACATCTCACAATATATAGAGAAACCGGATATTTGCGAGGAGAAGAAGCAGGGCGGAGGTCGATGTTCGAACAATGGTCAGAAAACATGTTTCTTGATGTTTTAGATGGTAGAATCAAGAATGTATAAAGCACAGTTTGCTTGTTCACTGCCTCTGTTTTTTGTGACAAAACGTTCACCGCCGCGGCGTTTGGCCTTTGAGCGGACCGCGGACCAAGCACAAGATCTTGGTCCAACATGCCGCACCTCAGGCGACCCAAACAGACGGCACCGAACATGAAGACGCCTTTAAGACCTGCTGATGAATCAGGACCTTTGGGTTGGGGTGCCCCAAAAAAGGAGGTCCAGCCTAGCCAAACATGTGCAGGACGTGTGATTCAACACCATATGCCCCAGCATGTGATGGCATGCAATCATGTGATCGCATGACATCAAAAATCAAGTGATTTGGACATTCAAGCCTTCACACGATCCTTCAGCCTAGGCGTTTCCTCTAGATGACACCAGCGACACCAAGCCCCTAACTGCGGCCGCACTGTGTCTCCGAAGCTGGGAGTATAGCCTCATGGCTATCGCCGCCATGGCTTATGATCCACTCCGAGTGGAAGACCCCAAAGGAGCAGAGCTTTGTGTTTGGCAAGAGCTGGAAGAGAATCCTGGATGTCATTGTGGGCGTTAACGGATCGAAAAAGGATCGTTCTGGTTCGAAACGGACACACCACTGACGAGACACATTTGCCACCATCGAGGTTGCCATTGGAAGGCTGAGGTTTGCTGCAGAGGTCCACGGAAAAGATCCGGTGGGTTCGTCATCTTGACGAAGGGTATTTTTGGCGAACACGGGGACAGGTCCATCGTGCTTGGATGCCCTGGTCAGATTTGACACGACCTCTTGGATGCCCTGGTCAGTCACGACTAGTTAGTGGGCCTGTAGAAGGTCACTTACGTCCAAAAGGTCACATAAGCTGGCAGATTCGGTGAAGCAGCCCTCGGAACTGAGGAAGAGACTCTTGGGGCCAAAGACCAGGACGGGCGACATTGTAGATTTCAAGTTTTGTTGCCTTTATTGTATGTTGTTGTATGTTACTGTTAATTTTTTGTTTACTGTATGTTGCATGTCCACCCTTTTGCCTTTCTGCATCCAAAGTGCAGTTGGTTCGTTTTTTTACTTTTGAGTTGGAAGCCACTTTGCCAGTGATCAATCAAGATTCCAGTGAAGGAATAAGGTTTGTTTGGCCGTAGCGTAGGGACGTTTTGTGAGATCTTCCAGATTTGGTCAGAGTCTCCAAGTGACCTGGAGTCGAACTGTCCTCCCTGAGAGAACAGCTGGTTATAGCCAATCTTTCAACTATAGTATGGGAATGTGAGCTGAATCAAGCGCTAAGCAGTCGTTCGATCCTTGTTTTACGTATGAATTGCCGCAAGCTTGTTGTCCATTTTTGCAGAGAACAGGCTCCATCCGGACAAACGCCAGTTGGGAACCTCCACAATTGCCCGTTTGCCCCCCCCGAATACGCTGCGATGTACGGGAGAGTCAGCCAAGTTGGCAACTGACACTTCGATTAAGGTACATATGGCTTTTTGGCCTATGTATACAATGTTGTACAATTGTATGAGTATGTGTTTCAATAACCCCTTACCCCTACCAGGACCATCCAAAAGGTGTCCAATGGACTACCAGGCTAGTCCATTGGTCATTGGACACTGGTTGATGGTCCGGGTATATACACGATCTGACAAAGATTTTGAGGTAGGTGTATTTGGCTCTAAAAGCCACAGTCGCTAGGAATGTCCCTTTTTTTGCATCTTTTCGTCGTCTTTCTTTCTCTGAATGCGCATAACATTTCACTGGAAAACTCTTCTTAGAAGCGCAAAACCATCCTGTTGCCAAAAGGTGGTGGCTCCAGCACTTTTGCTTTGCTCGCCCGGGGTCACTTTGGGCATTGGCCACCTTGGCGGTTTGCATCTATTGCACACTGCATCCAAATGAGGGCATTGCCAACGTCATGGGACGGACGCTCGGGCGGGGGGGCGATCGCGTTCACCTTTAAGGAGTCATGTTGGGGGTTAGGAGATGCTAGACAGCTCAAGAGAAGCAGATGAGTTTTGCACGGTTTTTGCGGGGTTGGAGTTTTTCCTTTTTCCGGTGGCTTTGCAGTGCTCTTTGGCTGCAAAAAATGAATACGTCGTTGATTTTGAGGATCCCACCCATTCTGGCAGGTCCGCATCGCCGTTCCCTTCGAAACTTGGATGTCACTCACCGGGGCGTATCTCAAAAGAGGACCAGAACCATTCACAAGACATCCTTAAAGCAGATTGGCTGTTCTACCAGGACCATCAACTGCGCCATGGACCATACCCACGGAAAGGGCTTCCATTTGGCACGCCTTGGGTCGTATGTAAGTTGCGGGGTCACTATTGTCGAATTGCCGGGTGTTTCTGTTTCAAAGCCGCAGGAAGGTGACTTGCGTGGTCGCTGGGATGTTTAGTTTGGCCACAGTATCAGCAATGTGCGCTGCCAGAGGGGCTTCTTCACTCTTACAGAGCGATGCTTTCAGAGAGCTTTTGCAATACGAAGCTTTGAAAGCACTAGAAACGCACAACATGTAGACACTTGCTTATCTTGTTTGGACCATGAATGGTGCATGCTCTAGCATTATACAACGAGGGACGATGTCTAATTACTAATTAGTCATTATATATGTTTACTCTTGGGCTAGAAAGGATGAGTGGTTCTTGGCATGCCACAGCTCCAGGAACAAGGTGGCACTTCTCTCGACCACCGTTTCGACACAGAATCAATTATGCAGCTGTTCAGGAGAAGGTTTGAATTCATCCAAAGGAATTGCAGCAGACAATCCTGCCAAGTAGCTAGCATGCCAAAGAGACAAACTCTTCACGGAGCCTTTTCACCAAACTCCCGAATCGCAGGAGGCTTGTGACGCACGGTCTTCTGCTGGGTCTTCCTCTAAGCCCTGCCTTCTCGTCGGATCCAATCTATCTTCTTGCATGGTTGCTACTGGGCCAAAAACACGCAGAATAGCACAAACGCTCCAGAATCTTGCCACGAAGTATAGATTATCCATGATTACCCTCTTCTGTGTGGGCCCTTGGAGCCGTGGATGGAATTGGGGGAAATTTGATATGGTTGAATATGGATCTTTGGATATTGAAATACATGTGTGGTTTCTGTTGAGATTATGTTTAGAATCACAAGCTGCCTTCAATTGTAGATCATCCTACACACGTCAGATGTCTTTGGTTTCCTTCAGGCTAGCGTGGCATTCAGCTTGATTCCTTACATATCCTTATTTTTTTTGAGAGGATATGAGAGGATAGTGTCATTTCAGAGGCTCCTATTGGGCTTTGTGGTCTTTTACATTCCTGGCTACTCTATTCCGCGGGCCTTGGTGTTGCACTTGAGCCGCTCTCTCGTGGAGCAAATGATGAACGACATCGAAGCTGGTCCAGAGTCATGGAAGGGCACTGGACAGTTCTGGCAAGTGATGACCCAGAAGCACCAGCAGATGGATCGTCCTTGGGCTGTGGATGAGTAGGATCGGGAGGGCAGGCTTATTTACTGTAGTCGATACCTGTAGAAGGGAAAGAACCCCGCCTTGCAAGCAGATCCCGGTAGATTGATTCTATCTGTATCTTTATATACTAAGGGGCTGACAGCTGCCAGACAATTTCACTGAAGGATACTTGTCAGCTGTGCACTCGCTTGACGCTTCTTTGCCCACAGGTTTGCTCGAAACTGCTTGGACACTGGCAATGTGGTTTGTCTTGCCATATTTAGCCAACAATGTTATTGTTGGTTTGATCGGTTTGGTCGCTTGCTTATCTGCAGTGGTCACCAGCCAGAACGCCTTTGTCGCTTTTACTGGCTTCTTCCTGATTTGTGCCAATGTCTTCAGCTTCGCACAGCGTTTGAGCGAAATGGCGGGAGTGACCAAGCGACTTGGGCGAATGACCATGTTTCAGATGTTTATTTATTTGGTTCCCGCCCCTTTAAGACGAAAAAAAGGGTTCCAACATTACTGTCAAGGTTTTGCATATCACCACCCTAAGTTCAGCACTCACGATGGCTGCGTTCGTCTTCTAGAGAGAACACGACAATTGCAGAAGTTGTCTTCAGCATGGCATCACGAAAAGGATATGTTGGTCCACTTCCCTATCTCCATCCGCAACAGGGGACTTTATGGATAATTAGAGTCTAGAGTATTCCTGTTTTTCAATGGCCTTTGCCTGGATGGATTCATTCCGGATTGTTTCAATCCATTCGACTGCTTGCGATTGGCCCATCAGTTGGTAAATCTGCCAGCGCCATGGAAGTATGTACTAGTAGTAGAAGGTTGACCAGACTGGCACTCAGGATGTGTATGTCCACTCGAGCTGATACTCGCAGCATCCTCTCCTATGCCATTGGCAAATCTGGCCCCAGTCCCTGCACTGAAGCTGGTTTGCAGAGGGCTGGCTACTCCAGCATCGCCAAGGAGCGTTCCGATCATGCGCGATTCCTCACCTATTTGATGGCCAATCGTGCAGGCAGACGCCTTTTTCGTTCGGAAAGGGTACAAGTGAGAAACCGCCTGTGACCGCGCGGTTTGGGAAGTTTGGGATATATATATATATATAGATGGAGACAGGATCTATAGGAGAGTTTTGAGTCTTGTTTTTTTTTGGGATTCTAGCGTCCCTTCCTATCTCAAGTCAATTTTTGGGAGGATTTCTCGGCTGTCCGCTAGCTGGCTGAACTCAAACTTCGAGTCATCGATACTGATAGGGGGCAAGCTGGCCTGCTTGACATGTTTTTTTTCAATAATGGATTGTTTGATATTATTCCCTATGGATCCACACACCTTCTGAGAAGGTGATTACGGTCTATTACGGTCTATTTCTGTAGGGCTCAGTCGTACCTTCTGAGAAGGTGGATGTGGATCCCTAGGGTTGGAGACATGTTGAGTTCCTCTGATCCCAAGCGCCGCAACGGATGCGCTTTCATGGACAAATGTCCATGAGAGCGTAAGCACGTGGGAGCCGGTCCATAGCGGTTCCCTATGGTCAATGTGGTCGACTTGTGGTGGACTTCGACCATTAAAGCATTCGCATGATTTTGCTTGGTCCCCTAAGATTCAGATGGTGGAGTTTAAATGGCTATGTTTTTTCTCTTCATGATTGGTTTTCTATTTGAAACCACATCGAAACAACGCCCTTTCTCACACCGGAGTGTGGAGCAGAAGCCGAACGCCTTCCACAGGTGTGGAGATGTTTGGCGTGCTGATAGATACACAGCTCATCGCACGCTTCGTGTTCCAGGCCACGACTGGATTCTTAGCCCTCTTGTCTTACATGCTGGCCAACCTGGATATCCGGACAGAGGATCTGCTCGTCAAATTTGAAGGAACTGGAACGTACTTCTCAGATATAGTCCATGTTCAATGGAGGTAGCACCTCCTCAGTTATGTTTCACACTACAGAATTCTTTTTATTCTATGTTGTTGGACACAGGTTGTTGGATGAGGTTTGTCACGAGCACATGCCTGCATCTGTTAGCCTGCTTGATTGTCAGACAAGCTTTTGCCAATGCTGATTCGAAGCGGAAGAGGGAGCGGAGCCTTTTGGAAGACGACGGGTTAAGAGGGAGCGGAGCCTTTTGGAAGACGACGGGTTCAGGAGTTTGGTTAAAGGCGACTAGGTTGGTTGGGATGAGAGGTGTCGAAAATGACAAAGATAAGTTAAGTAAAACATGTGTAAGTATATATATATATATAAGTTAGGCAAGAACTACAACGATGATTGGATAATTTGAACAAACAACACCTTTTTCCAGTACCTTGTCCATATCTCTGCAGCCGATCATCCCACTTCAAGGTTCGCTGAGGCCGAAAACCCCAGGTGTCAACCTTGGGTGACCCCTGAGACCCCTGAGACCTCCACGGTGAACTGAAGTGATAATTTTATTTTTGTTTGGATGGGGATTGGTCTTGCCTTTTTGCCAGTCAAAGATTGAGCCCTCTCTGGATTGCTTCCTTCTATATTATGTGATCTACATGCAACACATGGTGTACTTGGACATCAAATGTTCCTAGGTCAAATAGAATATGCAACTATTCTGCGGCCATGGTAGACACGGAGAGAAGGTTACAAAAGACGTCATTCAATCAAAAAACAAAAATAACTTACAAAAGCAACCTTTGTTCTCTGCGTTTGGTTGACTTCTCCCACATTCATTCTCTATGTCCAATGGACTAGAACCCTTCAGCTCCTGTGTTCACGTTCGAAACCAAGCGTCCGAAACCTGATGCCGAACGCGATGGAATGGGCACAGTCCCAAACACCTTGAAATGGGTGACATCCGGCCTTCGTGCTACCACATTGTGGGGGGAGTGGGAGTTTGAGTGTATGCTTTTGGAGAGCAACTCCGGCCAGGGACTATCTATCTGAGATTGGCCTGCTTTCACATGAGCCTGCCTGGCCTCGGACTTGCTCGTCTGAGCAACAAGCGGACGGGGCAGAGCTAGCCGAGAAAGGGCGGCCCGGCTGAGATGCATGCGAACACTTATTTAGTGGATAACCACAATTGGCCACGGTTTGAATGTTTCAGGTGTACTGCGGTTGAAGGTCTTTTGATTGGAATTGGGGAAAAATTGTTTTGTTTTGTAATGTGTTATAACCCTGTATGAAACAAGACACAAGCGTTTTGATGGTTGAAGGTCTTCTGATTTGATGTATCTTTCGATTGCCACCTTGTTTCAGGATTGTGTTTCGAACAGTTCTTGGTGCCACATGCGATTTGCTGAACTATCCGCCGCTTACGTGCCCCCCTTGCAGAACCAGGGACTTAAAGCCTTAAAGCGTTGAAACTGATCCATTTGCAGTGTTGCCACTTGGCAGGGGGCGTTGCCGGTTTTCATCAGAGGAAGATAAGAGCAATAAAACACATACCATGGGCATTTGGGAGTCCGTGGGCTTTCGATTCATTCGTTTGAATTCCTGATGGGCTCGGCCAGCCCTGCATCGCCGGTCTCCCTTTGGTGAAGGTGGTCGGAACATTCCGGAGTCACAACGCATTGAAGTAGAAATGGTCCAGGGGGTCTAGTAGGGGGTCTCTATGTTTAAGCAGGCATACGCAAATGGACGGTGAACATACGTACTTTCTTCATTTTTCCTTCCCTGTGTATATTTATAGAACTTGGAACATACTATATATGGCTCGCATCACGCGCACACACACATACATATAGGCGATACCTTCATGTTCATTGTCAACATATAAACATATATATAGAGAGAGAGAGAGACAACATGTCGCCAGGGCAGAGGAAAGCTGCTCTACAATGTCCAGTCCTATTTATCCCATGTCAAGTGGAGACAGTTGGGCGTCAGTCCAATTGGATAGTCTCCAATCAACAATTCCGCCATTTTCTCTTGGGATGCAACCTGGTCAATTGAGAGATTCTTGAATCTTTGGTGCCATGCCCAATCTGGTGGGGTGAAAATGTGAGAGATACGTCACATCAGCCGAGCAACTCCGTCGGAGCACGCAGATCCCAAAAACATCGAAGCGGTGTGCACCGGCCACACGCCATGTACAGCCAACGATGTGACCGATGACTCTGCGCACAGAAAAAAGCAAAAATGGGTGTCAAGTCAAGTCGGTCGGAACGCATGAGATTGATGAAGGGCCCGGAAGTCGGTCTGGATAAGACACCTGGAAGTTGGTAGACAAAGTGTTGCAGGAATGCCTACTTTCTTTCTGTTAGTAAGAAGTACATCCCTACTAGTCACAAGTTCATGACTACTAGTAACAAGATGCTACTAGTAGATATATATTTGCTACTAGTAGTACTAGTAGCGATGCACCTGTTACTAGTATGCCTTTCTTTTGTGCATGGGGCCACTGGGCCAAGGTGATGTTCCACTTCACCCTTGCCCTTTGTGGTCGAAACTCTTCGATTCAACGGGCACATGTTACGTCTCAACGGGACGTCTCCACGGTACGTCTCCATCAGCGATCAGTGTGTCGCACAGCGAAGGATCACCCGATTTCGATAGGAGCCTATAGGAGGGAAGGATCTGAAGCACTCGATTTCATCCTTTGGCAGCGCCAGCCCTCCTTACAGGTGGCTTTTGATCATGTAGTGTGCAAAACCACAACCACGAAGCAAGCTGTGCACAAAGCGAAGAGAATCAACAAGGACGACCTCATTGCACCCGCCTGAAGCAAATGGTTAGAGGGGAGCCTCTTGTTTTTTTCAGACGGAAGATGGTCCTTAAAAAAAGCTGCAAAATGCCCTGATATGCACTTGACTTTGGAAGTGAAGCAAAGCTGAAATGAAGCAATCAAGTCGAGGTCATTGGATTCAACCCGATCAGTTCCGAAAAGTGCTAATTACAGATGCCATGGATTCGCTCTCCGTGGGGCCAGTTCAGTGTCTCGACATCAGGGAAATAGAATAGAACCTCAAGCCACCCTGCACTTGATGGAAAACACAGAAACTTGAGCACGTGGCTTTTGGTATCATATGCTCCTTCAATTGTCTTTTGTTTTCCCCAAATGAGGTTTGTCAGCACCCTCCCAGATTCCTCCTGCTTCATGAGAAATCAAAGCAAAAACAAATTTCAAGAAAGTGCATTGTTTGAAGCCAAAATTGCTTCTGAAAGTCGATTTGCTTCAATCAGAAGGTGTACACTCTGACCTTCGCACATCCTTTTGGCAAAAGGTGAAGTCTTGAACCACCAAACGCTTGAGCGGTTGGCATCCGGGAACGTGGAAAGACGAGATGAATTCCAGTTAAAGGTTAACTATGGTTAACTATATACCAACAAGCACAGGTTTTGTTTTTCCATGCATCTCTAGTCTTCGTACCTATTGAGTCATTGGAAGCACTGGTTCCCTACTAGATCCTACCAGTCGTAGTTCACCTGTTTGTTCCTTTTGTTCCTCAGCTTTGAGACCCGACACCAGGTATTCGTCTTTAGAAGCAGACGAGTTCGATGACGGGAACAGCGCGGATGACATCGACGCGACTTGGAATGTGTTCGCCCAAGTCGGTGGCGTTTTGAGGTGATTTGACCCCCCAAACATCACAGATGCTTCAGTGGAAAGAGGGGTGAGTTAGGGGTGACCAAGGGCTCTTTATGGTTTATAATGAGGCAAATCGAGGCAAATTGAGGTAGACCCCCTCGGAAAACGGTGGCATTTGGCACCATCCCCAGTGGGGACGACCGGTGGAGAGTCATGTGGGGTCGCGCTTTGGATTTGAAAGGATGTGTGTGTGGTCGGGCTAGATCTCCCAGGAACATGTCCTTAGTTCATCATGTTTGCGATCCCACATCGATGGGAGAGTTGTTCGTGACACCTCCGGAATTGACCGTCAGCCTCCGCGAGAAGAGACCCAGTGGCACCCAGTTGAGCCAGTTAGTTGAGCTAAGAGCACTCAAAGGTGTTCTGTTCTGCCAAGGGAAGGAGGAGGAAGGATTGCATTTACTGCAGTTGGGCAGGATCGCCAACCGTCGGGCACAACATGGGGAAGTTCAAACCGTGCATCGATCAATCCAAAGGTCTTGGATGAAGACTTTTTTTCCCATGGGTGATAATCATGCAGATACTCACCCACGAGAAGTTGTTTTTTACATATTTCATCATATTTCTACATGTGGTGGACTTTTGAAGGTTTTGGTATGTATATATATATATATATATGCACCTGCTGCTAAAACCCTGCATCAGATCTCCTACTTTCCGTTTGAAGATTAATTGCCTCTAGTCGGTTGCCTTTAAGGTCAGCTTTAGAGCTGATGGACAAGCATTTACATCGAATTCTCACATGTGTCCCGGGTTCAGTATTATGGTTCAGTACTACTTATAGTAACCCAACATTGATAGGAAAATCAATCCTCCTTAAAGCAGTCTTAAGAGTGTTTCAATCAGGTTTCGTACATGTATACTTGGGCTGTTGAACATCTCACATGACTGGACTCCTAAGGAGGTCGAGGAGGCCTGTGGCGGATGGGGAGATATTTGAAGAAGGATCCATCTCGGAAGGTTGGTTCTCATGGAAACCTGATGAAACATGAACATATCCATGCCAAAAGCCCAGATACAACCTGTTTGTGACTGGCATATTTACATTGAGGTGGTTGATTTGAGGGGCCATAGGTAAATCTTCCAGTCTCAAGGAATCATCGCTCTGTCTGTTTTTCCGATGAGTCATGGCGAGAGATTCACAGGAGTGCATAGCCAGGAGTTCAGTGGATTTGTTTTTCCGTGCGGATTGGGGACCCCCACTCAGCACTTCCACCGGTGGACACTTAGGTTTGATCTTGAATATGTCCCGACGATCTCCGTCTCGGGAGTTGACCTTGTGTGTGATCTTCAAGACATCGGCCAGGTTGGCCATGTCCTCCGTCCTCCAAGGAATATATATCATGATCTATGATCTGTTTTTGAAGTTTTACCAGTTTCCAACAATCAAACTGATCAAGGTTCTCGATGTTCAAAGATGCGGCACCATGGCATTTCTTCACAGATATGGATCAGCATTGAATCGCCTGATTCAGGGAGACCCTTGAGTTTCTCCGTCTGGCCGCCTGACGCATAGAATAAAAATGAATAAAATGGATTTGATTCCTTTTGGTCATGTTTGTCAAAATTGTATATGTGTTTATTCCAGAACAAAGGGTCACTCTAGAGGCCGCAGTGCTTCACATATTCTAGACATCATTGTTACTCATAACGGTCTCCTTGGAATTGATATTCCCTCCCTTTTGGCACCACCGCAGGCGCCTGAGACGAGCCGCACCACGGGGGTGCCTCCCGAGGGCAGCCTGAAGCAACAGATCTGCCAGGGACGCTTTGAGGCTTGGGTGTCGCAGATGAAGCACCCTGGTGGAAAGATGGACCTGTGATACCGCATTTTTCTGGTGATTGATTTAGGAATCTGTTGTACAGATGGAGCTCCAAACAAATAAACCAGATGTGTGGAGGGTTTTCGATCTGTGAAAAGAAAGTACACAGATCAACCAGACGAGAATATGAAGATCACAAATCATTTGCCACACGTGATCAGTCACCTTTGGAGTTTCTGTTTGGTTTGTGTTTTCGGTTGGGAGACCGCTGGTGAAACTTTGTGCGGTTTGTGGGGGGGAGATGCAGTGCAGAAAACTCTTCCATGAACAGTGAATTTTGGCAGCTGGTGGCGGCGTACGTAAATACATCAACTTCCAACGAACAACCAAATGTCAAAATTAAAAGCTCGTGCACGTTCCAGAGTCAGGGTCCTTTTTGTGAATGCCTGCCCTAACGTGATAAAACACTGCAGACTGAAGCCCAGTGCACCAACAATACACATCATTGATACGAAACATTATATAGATCATATGACCTACGCATCGCTGCAAGGTACTTGTGAACCTTTGCTTCCAATGATCCAGTCTGCTTGGGAGATTCCTGTTACACCCCCTTTGATCTTTGCAGGCCGCCGTTCTATTGAGATCAAACTCTTTCATTCCAAATCGATCACCAAAACCTGTAGCAGAAAACTCTTGGACATGTTGGCATCAGAACAAATTCCTCACTAGAACGACGATTCCAACAACTGAGGTTAGGGCATAACCCCTTGGTCTACGAGCTTTACAAGCGATTGGAACTTCTATCGCATTCGGTGACTTGTCAAAGCCCTGGAGCTTGGATCGCAAGCTGACAGTCTTCCTTTTAGGTGGTTGTAGACTTGGTTGTCGATGATCATCTGTTTGATCATGTCTTCCCAGTAGATGGCCATTGACACGGTATTGACTAGCATGTTGTTTTTTTTGGGGGCGCTTGCGCCCACAACCCCAGCAAAGTTGTGCACAACCTCCCCACCGAGTGCCAACTCACCGTTGAATCATATAGAGTCCTGTATATCATACAGTATAGTATATGCACAAATTCTGCTCGTGCAGAGGGTAAAGACCGGTCCGTGGTACTTTCTCTACATCTCTCTACGACAATTGACCTACATCCAGGAGACATCCAGGAGTTGGTTGATGGAATTTGATGGTGTCCTCCAGTAGCTGGCGACTTTTTAACATGGAAGTGGACCCCCCCTGTTTGTAGAGGAAGATTGTCTTCCAAGTGGCCAGGCCATTCGCTTCCATGTGTTAGTTCCAGGGAGATTCTTTGGGCCTCATTTGAGGATACTGGATGGATAATGCAGGGAATCCCTTTGCTTCTTGGACCCATCAGTTTAGGGAAGAAAAAAGAAGCATCAGACCCTTAAAGCCTTGGTTTTTCAGAATTCGTGAGCCAAGAGACTATTTGGATGGGGATCAGACGGATCCAGAACCAGTTGCGAGACGAAGAACTCGTCTTCGATGAGATCAACTCCTTCCCGTCTGAGCTGCTCGAGCTGCGGTCTTCCGAAGTGACCATCTTCTGCGGTCTTCCGAACCGCAAGGTGACCAATTCCTCGGTACGCTGTCTCTTAGTGGAATTCTCCATCGCTGGAATGTGCTTCGTCGCTGATGGAAGGGAGGGGCATGGGGTGTTTTAGTAGGGCAGTTGGGGCAGTTGGAACAAGCAGAAAGCAATTGTGCGAAGGAAAGAGTCCTCCAGCAATCCATTTTTCCATGCCTTCATAGTCCATGTCGGGTTTCTGGAGGGTGCATAGTCATCCTGAACAGGAGATTTGAACAAATCCAATACTGTAGGACAATGGTCACAGGTAACTCTTCCGCATTCTATGTATACCTCTTTAGGAGGCATCCAAAGTTTGGCCAGCGCCTTCAGAATACTTGGAGTTGATTGCAAGAAACCTATAGGGAGGGAGGGAGGGAGGGAGGGAGTCCATGGATGCTCAGGGTACCGCGATATATCCACAATACCATGTTCATCCATGTTCTTTTGCGAAACTTTGGATTCGTCCAAGTGGCCCTGCTGCTCCCCATTTTAAAGCCACGTGAGCTTCACATTCAAGTAGTACAGGGATAGATACCCAAGGAGTATGGATCCACATACCTTCTGAGGTGATTGGAGACTATTTATGTAGACGCCCGCGTCGGGCTCAATATATATATATATATACCGATACCTTCCGAAGTGGCACTGGATCCCTAGGGCCTAGGGAAGGTTGATTCGCCCACCAGCTGCCCCTTCTTCGGGTCAAATCTGCCGATTTTTTGGGGTGAGTTTGTCGATGAATATCTCTTCGGAGCATGGAGACCTTGCTTTTTTGGGGCGAGGCATGGTGTCTACAAGCAGAGTTCTTGCTTCGTGCCTTGACCTGCTGTGAGAGTTAGGGCTCCATCAGAGATGGGCTCCTTCATGTTGGTTGGGCATGTTTTGGAGGAAGCGGCTTGGTGCCGGGGACATCCTGTTCCCCCTTTGAAGATTTTGAAGGAACCAACGACTTGTGGGAAGTCCCACTCAAACTAGACTTGGCCGGACATTATTGGATCCCCCAAGCCACGCCTCACCAATTATGCTACAATCTTGCTTGACGGAGGGACATGGTCAGAGCTCCTAGGGTCCTAGAAGCTGAATTGATGACGAAAGAAGAAGCTCTCCAAAAAAGGACCCGACAACCAAGCATCCTTCTGCCCTCTTGATCTGAAAAGGTCGGATTGTTCTCTGAAAAGGTCGTACTGGAGTCCCACTAGTTGAGAAAACCACGTCAAGTCCTTTTTGTTGGGGTGGGGGGGCCATCTTCGTCTCTACCCAACAGGGCCTGCCTCCTCCGGTTTGCAACTCCTCCGGGTTTGCAGATGTGTCAGCCAGCGAAGGGCCGAGCAACAAGAGGTTCCGAAGATGGAATTCTCAGATGTTCCCGATATCCCTCCTTTGCACTGAACCAACTAGGTCCCTTTGAACATCTTTAAACCAAACCAGAACCAAGGCAACCCCACAAGTCTTCAGGTGACGCGGTTTCACCACCCACCGGTTTTTCACCCCAAGCGTGTGCGACAAAAACCAGCCGAGGATCCCACGTCACCCACATGGCTCCTGAACTCAGAGTCCAACAAAATGGAGCAGATCCCAAACCTGGTGGTAGCTGCTGGGTCTTGGAAGTTATTCTTGGCTCGCAGGTGAACTCATCCAACGTTCGCTGGGTCACACTTGTTCCAACCCGAACCTGACCATGTTTTGCCTCATGTGAACCATTCACGATCATAGTGAATAGGACTTACTCAACATCTGGGATTGTCTCAGTTCTGACAGAACAAGATTTGTAGCAGACCTTGCACCATTTATCCTTTACTACTCATTGGTTAAAAGATCCAACCGCGGGCGCCCACGGCTGCAAGGTTCCAAAGACAGGACGGTATCATCATCACCTTAAATGGACCTTCCAGGATGGACCATTTCTGAGAAATCAGTCCCTGCCAGATCTCAGAAACATTTCAGACTTGACTGTAACTGTGTGTGTTCATTATTTGGGTGTGTATTAAAATAGGGAGACCTCTCAGTCAACGAACCTGTGGAAGAAAGGAAATAGACAAGTTTGGTCTCCCTATTAAAATACAAACTCATACGCTACTTTTGACTCAGACGTTTATCTTCTTATCCTGTACTTCTCTCCAAACAGCTCCCACAGCTCGGGTTGTTGATCTATGGGACCGAAGGTGGCTGATGGGTTGAGACGGACCAAGGTGTTTTTTCACCCGTGAACTTAAACAGGTCGCACCACCCGTAGATCCTCCACGTGGTTCCTATGTCGCCACGTGGTTCCATCGATGACGTTCCACATGTTTTTTGTCTCGCACGTTCCAAAGACCCCATGCCAAAAGAGTCGACAAAATAACAACATAGAAGTCAACCATGGGCCCCTGGAAGACCATTTTTCCTCCACAAAGAGGAGGGCTTTCTACTTCCAATATGATGTGTTCCTCGAATATGTTGTGGTTATTTTCACCCTGTAAGAGGCCCAACTGTGTTCCACAGCGCACTTGAAAGCCTCCCAGCCTCCCACCTGCACCACCAGCAAACGCCTCACCTTGTTACGCCTTAAGGCTCCCACATCCAACCCGAAGGCAGGAACCAACCCCCTGCCAACCACCCCACCCCAACGAACCGAACCGAAACGAAGGCAGGAACCAACCGAGCCCCACCCACGAGAAGAACCAGTGAGTGTGGTTCAACCGACTTCCTGGGGCTCGCCCGCCAGAAGCCTGCTAGACAAGCACCTGAGGACTGGACCTTGGATGACGAGCTCCTCATCTCTTCCCGGTACTACACCGGCGCCGAGCGCCGTGGACCCTATGTGGACGAGAGCCGGCTCAGTGACGCGGATCATGTGGGATGTGGATGAGTGGATAGACATGAAATCAGGTATGTCATCAGCAGATCGTTATGCCAACGTGTGTAGCAACGCGAAGACAGCACCTGCGGGCTTTTCTCAAGCTCGCGTGGGCCCTGTTGGCTAGATTCTGCTGGATTGCAAAGGATATTTGACGATGTTCTTCCAGAAGGCGACATATACCCTCTAAAGGTGCTGTGTAAGGAACTGCCATGTTGCTTATTGTGCCAGTGGCTTGGTGTTTTTTCCCACTTCTTCAGTCTTCAGGCAGCATAGACAATTCAACATGCTTTACACGGTATTGCTGCCCTTGTCCTTTGAGCACGTATCTCTATATAAACATATATTAGCTTGACCCAAAAGGTCCAAACATGCCCAAACCAATCCTCTGATGAATTTTGGACACCTCGCTTCTTCAGTTCACTGACCAACCTTTGCAGTCCCTGTTTGCGACCAACCCTACGGGCCACAAAATGACCGGTCACGAACTGGGATATCAAGTTCACTTCGCTGAAGAAACCAGGTAGGGGTCCCTGTTTTCTATAGCATGTCCCATTGATTCAGGCCCGCCAAAGAGATATTAAAGAAGGTTAGGTATAGGTATAGGCATAGGTATGGCATTTCCCGGAGCCCTCGGGCGAGCGTCTCCGCGGCGGTTTAGGTGAGCGATTCGGGTCCGACACCATCCGAGCACTGGGAGGCAGTGGATGGTCCAGGAGGGTTCAGGAGGGTTCAATTGGCTGGTTGTTTTGGTTGTTGGGGTGGTCAAACATATGGTGGTTGGAAGGTTCCAATTGATTTGTGGATGTGGGTTGGTATACATGGCGTGGCGTGCCCTTATGGTCAAGATCAATCTCCGTTTTTGCCCAAATTGAGCAATGGCTACATGGACTGATGGATTGCTAGAAGAAGGGGTCTTCTAGAGTCTTTAGAGGTGGCAGACCTCCAGCTCTATCATTGGGATGATCAGGGACCGTAAGTCCATGGGCCCTCAGGATCTGCTGACCGCTGCCAATCCAAGGGTCAGGGTGAGGAAAACTGCGCGTGAGATGGGGGTAAGGTATACCTAAGTATGCAGGTGAGATACCAAGTTTCAATGAGTTTTTGTTCACTTAATGGATTGATCACCGCTGCCCGGCCGCAGGAGGAAAAGCAGACTGGACTGGTCTGGAAACAGGTCAAGTCTGGAAACAGCTGTTCCATCGGTCACTGGCGCCACACAGAGTCACCATGAATAGAAGAAGAGTCATGTTCTAGACTGGACTCTTCAAGGGATACCAAAAAGACAACAGTCGAGTCTAGTCTATCCAGTGTAGGGTAGTCCACACTGAAGGCATGGTCCTGGTACTGTTTCTTGAGTCTGTGATGACTTGTACATTGTCAGTGGTGCTGTTGTTGTCACTGAAGCTCTCCCTCTCCGATGTTCTTTGCTTTTTGGGATGTCCAGGATTCACGCATTTTCTGAGTCAAATTTGCAGCTGTGCACATCTTTGCAACAGGCTTGAACCGCTTGTTGCAATTCCTCGGGCTGATTTGTGCAGATCCTTGGGCAAACATGAGGTGGTTCAACACTTGTCCAATCTAGCAGGGATATCAATCACTGTTGTCTAAAGGACTTGATTTGATTTGTATTCCGCCCCATTTGTCGTGTGGTTCAATTGGTATGTTCAGCTACTGTGTGGGTTAGGAACAATCTGGGCAAATGGACTAAGGTTCCCCAACGCCAACGACTCACAATCCATGAGATCCCAAGCAAAACGTGTTACATTCACCCCACCTATGACTCATTCTATATATTAGGCTAATATCACGGTGATGTCAGATCAGCATTCAGAACAACTGAGTGGCCTTCGGCTCGCGCTTCGGTGCCTATAGACCTGCTTTTTTGCAGAGCACCAAATGTAGAAACCGGGCCGAAAGGCAAGAGAACGGCCAATATAATGCACTCTTCAGTTGAGGGACCACTTGGGAAGGCGACTTCCAGTGGTCTCCTGGGACCATGAGTCTTTACTGAAGAACCTGGCGAGAATGTCATCAGGACATACTTATCCGGGTGAGTGTGAGCCTAGCTAGGTGCCAAGACATCCTTTCGAGACCTCCTGTTTGGAATCCGGATCCTCATTTCGCTCCAATCCATTGACCTGTAGCCCAGCACAAGAAGATCCAAGTGCCAGCCCTAGGTCACTTCAATCCATCGAAGGTCCTTTTCTTTTGGAGTCACACGAATCGTTGCAAGACTATGGTGAAATGATGTGAAACGTGGTTGACTCGTTGGTTGACTCGACCTCAAAAACCGCAGTTCAGAACTCATGATGTCGATGAACCTGGAGAAACATGGTGACCTAGGACCTGGTGACCAGACTTGGTCCATTTTGGTCCTTTGGAGGCTGCCCAGACTTCGAACACCGCATGAAGTCTCAGGTAGGCTCCCCAGGTGTGTCCAGGAAGGCCCCACTGGTCCAACCTGAGGACGCTGGGGCGCCAGAGGCCTACACAAGGCAGAGAGTTTGGGGTGTCCATCGGGTGGAGTTCATGCAAGAAGAAGTGCACCATCCAGTGTTCAAAGTTTCTGAATTGTTTGACGCAAAAAACGAGAAACAGCCACATCCTGTTATAAAGTCTTTGGAAGAGCGACCCACGTGTGGGAACTTTGACCGAATTGTACTGTCGATCATTTTGGCCCACCCGGTCAGTGGGGTCACCCTCAAGCTTATTGGGTAATGTTGGTTTCCCACTAAAAGCCAACCGGAGGACAGAGGTTACTGAGCGAGTCCCTTGCTCTTTCTTTTCAATGCACAAGTTGAGGTAAAACCACCAGTCACATGTCGTGTTTGTGGAGTTGCATCAACAAGTTGTCAGTATCATCATCCCATGCCCCCACTGAGTCAAGATCATGCTATTCCTGGAAAGAATCCAAACATTCCAAGAGAAAGGCGTGCTTTCCACCCCGTGAGTCTACACGAACATGTCCGACTGTTGGTTCCTTCTACACGGGCCCAAACGTGGGTCTCATCCGTTGTCGGTCCGAAGACCAGCAAGGGTCACGGCCTCGGTCGCCAGGCATTTGCCCTTCGGAGGCATCCCACATCGCATTCTGGCGGCGTGAGAGGCCTCTTTTGTGAGTCCGTAGTGCTCAACGGGGAGCGGAGCTGCGGAGCTGCGCGGGGGCGGCTGGAGGCCAAGGGTGGAGAGTTCAGCGGACGGCTGGTGTTGATTTCTCATGCTGAGTGCCAGAATGATGGATGGATGACAATGTAGATTCTGTGGGCCCTCGCTTGTGCAGCGATTCAAGTAGGCTGTAGACACAGCTGCACCTGTAAGATAGTTGCATCTTTTGCAGGGCCAGGATCTCACAGGTACCGTCCACGATGTGTTCCAGGCATCTGTGCCGTGACACATCCGTGACATCAGATGTTTCATCAACCAATTCATGGACATTCTGCTTCTTTTCCAATGGATGTTCTGTGGGCTTCCGAGATCTTCCCAGATCTGCGTGTCCAGCCACATCCATCTGAGATCGGTGTGAGCCACAGAAAACAACGACGAACAAAACAGCGGTTGCCAAGCTAGTGGCCGGCGATCAGACAGGAAAAGCCGCCCCCCTCGTGCCAGCGACACCCCGCGTGACGCGTCGGACCAACAGCATGGAATTCGAGGAAAAGAGGCCTGGACTGTTTGGAGGTGAAGGGATGACATCCAGTTGCAGTGAAGTAATGGTTGGCTCATCATCATCATCATCATCATCATCATCATCGTCATCGTCATCGTCATCATCATCATCATCATCATCATTCATCCCATCCATCCCAGTAACTGGTTGTTTCGGTGTTCATTGTGGAGGAACATCCATGAGCGGTTCCTCTATAGGTTCTGAGAGTTCTCATGACCCAATGCCGGGAGTTCAGTCAAGTGCTACAGTCTGACAGGGCCGAAAGTCCACTCGAACAACATCACACGTGTTGTTTTGAAAAGAAGTGGCAAGTACAGGCTGCTATAGGAGCATCGCTCTTTCGGACACAAGCACCACCGATGCCTGGCCTAGGTCGGCAGTCACAGGTAGGTCAATCAGTGATCGGTTGGAGGGTGGACGGACTCGCTCCCAGCGATCGACCCGCATGCAGCGATCGGAAGACAGAGCGATTGACGTGCGGCTCAGATGTAGTGACCACTACCACCCAAACGGAAGCGATGGACGGTGGCCAGCACCACAGAACAAACGTGGTCAGCGTTTGGAATGGCTCCAGAAGACCCAAGAACACTCCAAAACCGCACAGCAACTATATCATACTATATCTATAATATCATGCATATATACAGGTTCCCTTCTTTAAACAAGAAAAATCCAGCAGCAATTCAAAAGTTCCGAACACCTTCTTTCAACACCTTTCAACACCGGACCGTTTCATCATCTTTCATCCAACCGTCGCAGCATCACCGGCAACACCGGCCAGCACCATGGGCTCGGGTGCCTCGCAGCCGGAGCAGAAGCCGGCGCCGCCCATCTTGAGGTCTGTGAGAAACGAGGAAAACCCCCGTCTTGCATTGTTGGTATGCCTTGACTACACAAGACTCAAGGTTCGAAGAGTGGATCGAAGCAAGTCGAAACACTAGCAGGCTTCATGGGACCAGTGAACGACTGGAGGGATCCTCGACATGGGGCTCCTCCTTGAGTGAGGCCTCACTGGTGGACTGCTAATCCTCCGGAACCCTCCTTTTCTGGAGGTGGCCTCCAGTTTGACCAAGTACCGTGGCCATAGTTGAACAAAGCACGGGTAGGGAAGAGTAGGACAGTTCTCCAAGTTTATCCCATGTCCTTGCTGGGAACACCTTATCTTCAGGCCTCACAGGCCAAGGAGGAGTGAGGTCGTTTATTGGGTGAAGTTGCCCTTCCTTGAGTGAAGTCGTTTGTTTCCTCTCCCTGGCTACGATTGAACGACCAAGCCTGTCCCCCATGGTTTAAGCGACTGCAGTTGTAGTTGGACCACGCTGGGTTGAGTGTGAAACGAGCGTCCGTCCCAAGCTGTACAAGAGAAACTTCTCCATCAAACAGTATCAGCTTGTCGCTATTCAAGGTCAAAAGCCAGCTGGTCTTTGTGTTCTCCCGAAAAAGAAAAAGTAAAAACCGCTCCAAACATCTTCATTGGTGCCCAAAACCGTTGTGCATGATTGTTTGATTGGGATAAACCTAGATTAGGACTAGCTACAACAACAGCAACAACAGCAGCAAAAGTCAAAAGTATTTTATTTGTTTGCTTGTTTACATGGCAATGACTTGTGTGCTTATCTTTTCTGTTGATGGTCTCTTGATCCGGCGTATCGCCACGGCAGACATCGACCGCAGCACAGGTCGATCTCAACTGCACAGGCGAATTTGAGGCGAACTGGACCCGGTGGAAAGTCCAAGAAACGCAAACTGGATCTCTGGACTTTCTTGGTTCTCAGAATCAGAATTAGACGGACCCACAGTTTCTGAATTCTGTTTCACCAAGTCTCTGAATCAGTGCTTTCTCAGAATTGGTGAAGACACGAAACACCACTCTGTGGGTGTTTCATTTACATACCTTTTAACATGTGCCTGAAAGAAGCAACAGTTGGTTTGGACATCGCAATTCTTCTCCCATCGAAAGGCGGCTTTTTGCCGGCAGCTGTGTTTGGCAAAGTGTGCAAAGTGGCCAAACGCTGCTTTTGGATGAATTTGTTGTTGTTGTTGTTGTCTACATATCATACATGTGTGATTACGTGTATTTCCGGCTATATGTGAATGAGTCCTTTGATTTCTGGAAGGTTCAGGTATCCTGGTATATAATATGTTATACTGTTTGAACACTTCCTATGTGTCCAGAGGTTTGATGACAAACCCATCTATCTCAAGGCTTCCAATCCAGGTGCCGGTCCCGTGGAACATCCGTTGAAGCTCGCTGTGCTGCACAGCCCAAAAGGCCCGGGTCGATGGCCGTGCAGGAAAGACTACCAAGGAGACACCTTACTCTCCGCCGATGTGGGTGGCACGGGCTCCCGCCGGGATCCTTGGATATGGAAGTCCAAGAGGAAAGGAGTGAGGGAGGTAGGTGGATCGGAGTAACAACTGGGATGTTTGCCAACATCAGAAGCAGCACAAAGGGCATCAGAAACCCCAGGTGTTGCAAGTTCAGATTCCAGATGAGCCATTTTGGACATCGATGACAATCGATGACGCCTAGTGGACCTCCAACAAGAGAGCTAGTTCAAGGCATTTTTGCAGAGTCAGCCCGACTTGTGGCCAAGGATCAGGTTTCAGCTGGATCTTTAAGGGATGTGCAAGGTGAAAGCACCTCAAGGATCTGCAGCCAAGTGTTCAAAAAGGTTCCTCATCGTCGCATTAAAGGTAGGCTTGTTTCTGGAAAAGACGATTCGACAGCTTGACCAGATGATCCAAGTTGAAGCACCTGTGATGAGAATGGAGAGCAGCAGTGGCTCCAGCCTTGGAAGGACAAGAAGGTTGGAAAGGTCAAGGCAAAAGCCATGGCCAGCGCCATCGAAAGATGCTGCAGGCAGAGACTCCTCATAAGCCGGCTTATTTTTTTCCTATGGAGCAGGAACGAGAGAGAGAGGAGAGAAGCCGGACAAGCTCTAGGCTTCAGCTTGCGGCTTTCGTCATATGAAGCAGTTTCATGCAAACATCTTGTATACTGCAGCCTTTTCTTTTCACTGATGCAAGAGGTCTCACCCCATGAACCCCCCCAAAAGCGGTTACAAGACATTGCGTTTGAGAGCCAAAACAGAAGCAAGATGCAACTTTGGATTTTCATTGCAATCCGTTCTGGTCACGCACTGTGTGTCACGCTGCTTTGTCCGGCCTGGTGCGACCAAGAAGGTCACGTCTCCGACTGAACGGAAGGTCAGTGACGACCGAGGTCAGTTCGCTTCAGGACGACCGAGGTGAAGGGGACCTTTTTTAATCACTTTGGATCCAAGCAGAGCAACTGACTGGGATCTCAGTGAACGAAGGCCCTTCGGCTTCAAGGCTCTTTTTGACCTGCAAGGGCCCTGTAACTGTGTGCTTCTTTTCCTGTGAGCCACCAGTTTTGGGTGACTGATTTGCATACATAATTTTGGATGGACATCTTTGGCCAATCGGCAGCTTCAATTCATCTTTGGACTGCAACATGAAAGATCAGGCTTCGGGCCTTCAACTTGCTAAGCCACTCGTCAGAGGGGCTCGTCATGGATGCATGCATCCCTGCATTGAGTTTGACCTATAGCCTATATAGAAACATTGTGAAAACATGTGAAAACCAAAGGCCCTTTGTCCAGTTGTATCATGTTGTATCCACTTGCAACCTTTGACCAGTATACCTTCCCCAGCTCATCCACAACATCTCCGCTCACCAACTCGTGACCTACCAACCACCGGTCGCTCGGTCATCGGCACCTCGTCGCCGTCAAGGCCTGCACCTCTTTCTGCCCCCGGACTCGCTGAACCCCACCGAAGCCGACTTCTTCGCCGGGAGCGCCAGGGAGACACCGGCGGACCAAACGGAAACCAGGAAGAACGGACCCCACAAGGGAAGAACAGACCGTACCGCGGGGCACTCCGGGGCACTCCGTATATCTTGTAATTCCAAAGGAAATGGATGTGGTGTATGATGTGGTAGAGGTTGTAAATGAGACACATGCACACCAAAACAAAACAAAACACGTGGAAGAGACAGAGGTGGCCACTGTACCGAGTTTCCGGAGCGAGAATGCAAGAGGCCGACTTCACTATCCTCAAATCCCAATGTTCACATGGTAGACGCCCCAACGGGTAGATTGGTCTATGTCATTCTAGTTCCCTATTGAATACACGCCCATGTCAAGAATCAACCAGTTTGGAGAAGAACGCACTACTAATAAACGTAATAAATAGGTCTGCCTGGCCGGTTGTCTTTTTTTCAGCAGCCGCTCACCGCTCGGAGACGAGCGGGGCTGCTGAGGTCGGGTGTCGATGCTATCGCTATCAGGGGCCCTGGTCGCTACACTTGGTCACATGGTCTCCAAAGATGTTAAAAACAGACTCATGCTTAGAACATGTCTAAAATTGTTTAAAGCATACAAGCGCTTATATCTAAGCGCGGTTATAGGCATTTCATGATGTTTCATGCGTTGTCTTTGCTTGTCCGGTGCTGCTGACAACCGGACGGATGATCTTCTGTTGGGGAGATCATTTCAGGAAACTGAGCTTCCAAGTTGTCCCGACTGGGAATCTTGCAGGGTACAGGTTTGGGTATGTGTTGAGGCATTTTGTCAACTGACTGAAGCCCTGGAATTACCTTATATAAAGAAGTTGAGCAAGAACAGAACATGTGAAAGAGACGACAGAATTCCCCAAATACAGGCCTCTCGTGGAGCGACACGCTGGGTCCTTCGGTTGGAGCGCCTATGGCGCACACGCGGCATGGCGCGGAGGTCCCACCGGAGCGCATGATCTTTGAGAAGCAGTGACTCCACACGGAGACGTCTCGTTTGCGTCGGTGTTCAAGAAAAAGGTGGAAATGGACACTGATCCTGTTTTTGGGAAGTTTGTTCTTTTTCATCATGTTTGCTTTCGGAGGATGTGGCTGGAAACCAGATGGTCTTCCATTTATTTCCATTTTGGTTTGAGCTGATCTTCGATTTTTTGCCAAGAAGGTCTTTCACCAGGTATTGCACTGGATGAACTCAGAACTATGTCGGGTTTCTACGGTTGGCAAGACAGAATCTTCTACAGCTGTTCAATAAACTCTTCAGTGAGCTTCATCCAATAGGAGTTGAAGATGTCCTACACAGCATGCAAGCCTGTTTCTTGTTGAATGGTTCTAGCGTGATGTTTGCCATTGTTTGCCCATATCATCATTGGCAGCTGTGCAAGAGGATGCTTGCATTCCTATTAAGTCAAGTATGTTGTACAGTTGTACATATTTGGGCCTGGGCCTGAGCCAGCCAGGTCGGCGATGAATCCCACGGAACTGGTCGGGCCCGGACCCGGACCAAGTACTGGTGGAAGACTCCAAGAGTAACTAAACCATACTAAACCTTGGTTGGCCTTCATAGTTGTTTTTCAGAATCAATGTGCAATGGATCCTTGTGATATTGAGAGCAGAGTGCGCAACTCTTCCTTCTTAGATGGCCTGAACGAGCGTTTATGGAGGTACAAGAACGAGCGTTTCGAGTCCTTTATGGATGTGGTGCGTCTCTTCCTTCAAGAGGCTGGATTGGAGAAGCCCGGATCCCAGCCCGATGATCGAGTGGATGCCATCCGGTGGACGGTGGCAATTGCCAGGGAGCCGATCCAGAACATGTTCTTCTCGCGCCGTCGTGTAGACTCTTTTTTAATAACACCTCCCTAGAGGCCTGAAGGGATTTGACTACCCAACTGGAAGGGGGTTCAATAAAACCCTCCAAGCCTGAGGTTGATACATCAACCATATATACTGGTACATGATCCGTGCCGCCATTGATTCGGGTGCCATCGCTGCAAGCTGCCTCGCCTCGATCGCTGTCTCGACGCTGCGAGGCCGCCATTGCTGGCATGCCTGGCCGTCGCTGGTGTCGTGCAGATCCTCAGCGGGTGACCACCGCCGTGTTCACAACGGGGGGATTGACCACGGTATTCTTCGTAAGCAAGAGCCCATGTCATGTGCTTTTCTGTAGGGCTCTGTTGTTAGAACACCTACAGGTGCTGAGACAATGTTGGTTTTCAAAGAACAAAGTGGACCAAAACCCCATGATGAACAGGGTCGTTCAACTGGATGTATGACTACAGTGTGAACTTGTGAAGGTTCCCCTGAACCACAGTCAACAGATTGTAGGTGATTTGGGAGTTTCTTTTTTGTCCAGGCCTCTTTTAATTTTTGGATTGGTGCCAAAGACACCGTGCATATCAGAAAATGCTTCCTTTTAAGTAAGACAAAACATGCTTTGGACTTGACTTGAATAACCTTTCGAATTGCTTAGATATTTGGCTTCAGCACCCATAAACCGTGCCCTCTTTAACCGTGCCACCCTTTAAACCGCCTTGACCCACCTTCCCCATTGTTCCTCGAGGTGGTCGACAACTCTGCGCGCTTCGTCAACTTGGGCCACTTGGCGCTCCGAAGCCGTTTCGTGGGACGACGGGGGCTTCGGATCAGACGCGGGCGGCACGGAGGGTCGAGGGGTCCCAATGCTGCTCGTTTCGGGGGCGCATGAGTTGCAGTCTTTTGGAATCGAGAGGTGTTTTTTCGACTTTAGGATGTTCGTTTGTGATAGTATGATTAGTATGGCCTGGCGCGCCAGGAGGATTTTTGGAGGAGCTTCCTTCATTGGGCTTGAGTTTGGGGGCGTTCTCTCCCATTTCTTTCCCGGTCCTTTTTTACGCCTGGGAACGGTCCTTTTTAACGCCACTGGTCGTCATTGAGTTGAACTCCTGCAGGGACTGAGTCGGGATGCCCAAAGGAGTTGGGTTTATCCCACTGAGTTGGAAGATGCCCAATAAGATGACATCAAGGGACGAGAAAGACCACGCGGTAGCAGAATGGCCGGACCACCACCAGCACAACGTGGCACTCATTTACAGATCACAGCCACAATCGGCTGCTGTACTTTTGCTTGTTTGAGGGAGAAAGTTGAACACATTGCAACAATACTCCACAAAAAACGCTTTGCATAGTGCTCAAGTATGCTCAAGTCATTTCCATCAGCCACCTGCTATGGCCTTGAGGGCCTTGAGTATGGGATATGCCGAAATACTTTGATAGGCAATTTCCTTCAGAGCCTCGTGGTGGGAAATTGCTCTCATCCGTGGATTAGCGGCCATATACTGAAGGTCACTTCCCTGTCTCCAACGGATTCCTGATGACTACATCTTCAGGAGCTAGGAATTGACCCGACTTTCGTCGCCCACCCGATACATCCCAACACATCAGGTGGCAGTCATTTGATCTCTTAATTTATACCTTTTGTATCCTTTTGTGGTTTCTTATGGATCAACAGTCTACATTTTCTATAGATCGCACCATTGCGTTCTGGCCCAAGCACCCCCACCCAACGGCCCAACGGCCCCGGCGTGCCGCTGATCCCGCGCGGGCGGAGCGGGGAATGGCGGAGCGGTCGACCACGGTGACCGTGAGTTTGCCCAGTGGCCGCTGGGAGACGGTCTCCGTGCCGCAGCGCCTTGGGTGAGAGACGGTCTAAGAAACGCGCGTCACTAGTCCGCTTGGTAAGTTGCTTTGAAACAGAAGAGTAACGCCATGCAAAGCCTACAGTTATCTACAGTTAATAGATTATAGATGGATGAAAAGCAGGTGTGTCCCCTTTCAGATTAATGGATTGTTGAAGTTTTAGAGGCTCTCTAGGCACCTTTTTCTATGTTGGGACGCATTGTTACCATGTTTCCTGACCATGTTCTATTCAAATATGTTTTATGCTTTTGGTTTTGCTATGTTTACCACTAGCACCGTACCTATGTATATATATATATAGTTTGTTACCATCATCACTTGCCATCAACTTGTGACATCAAGTAGCATAGGCATATGTATATGTATAATATGTATAATTATGTATACATATATATTTTAGCATGAGGCGCCAATCAAGTCAGGCAGGTTGTTCTCATGGTCCTACTGTCCTACCTGTTTGAGCAGGAACTACCTAGCCAACCTAATGGAGGCAAGAACTGTGATTGCACAATGTGTTGCACAAAAACTGCCTGTACTTGCAGGTTGTCCCGTGGCCCATTGCCATTCGCATACCAAACGCAAGCAACTGCTGAATCTGGCTGCAAGATGCTGCAAGTGGTTATATAGTTCATTCCGAGCAGCAAGTTCAACCTCACCAAGCATATATATATATAATTATATATTATACACATGCCCTTGCACGGATTAGCAGTGTTTAAAGAAAGACTAGCTCTTGAAGACAATCCTACCCTTGCAGCAAAGCTTGTCCACAAATCTGATTTGATGACCATGACTTCACAAAAAGAAACACACCTAAATCCACCAAATAGTATCGATTGCGTCGAGACGCTGTGGACATAGTAGAACATCATAGAAGTATCTCTGTGAACCTTATATCATCCGGATGATTATCCAAGAAACAACTCGTTTGCTGTGATATGATATGATATATCAATCACTTAACGCACTGAAGCATTTTTTGTGAACAATTATCCTGTAACAGAGGTGATATATATATATATATAGGTGGGTAGTAATAAGCAAATATACGCTAATATATGCACTTATATACAATTCAGACAGTATATAGTATCATAGAATTATATCACCATATAAGCAAGCGGGGTGCTCTTTGTGTTTCACCCTGTTATGCACAAGGCTCGTCACCCACTGTCATGACCAATCACCCCCAGGGCCCACGGTCCGATGGTAATAGCTTTTTGCCTGCCCTACAACTTTAGTGAATGATTATTTGTCTCAGGTGAGGACAAAAAAAGCATTCATTGCTCAGTCGAAGAATCTGTGCAAAGGAAAGTGCTTTAAGATGCAGTGTTTGATCAGCTGCAGTTGAAGGATTACTTCAGTCTCCACAGTTGGGGGAAACCAGTTCATGTCGCTTTGCCGAGGACGTCGACGATTGGAGATCTGAAAGCAGCAGCCCAGAAATCTTTGGGGCGCTACTTCTTGAGAAGCATGGACACAGCTGTCGAAACAAACAAACAAACAAACAAGAGAACCGCTGCTGTTGGAAGAAAGACATTTGCCCCACCTGCCAGGCGGTGAAGCTGGAGGTACTTAACGTATCGGTGTCTTCCTCCAACAGTAGCAGGATGGTGAAAGCGATAAGAGCATAGGGAAGAATCAACGGATATTATATCTTACACCACCTTAAAATCTTCAAGTTCACTCTGTTACTAGGGGATTGCAGATGTCCTTTGGATTCCCCTCCACAGTAGGGACTTGTTTGACTTTCCCAAGCATTCATCAGATCCATCAAGTTTATCCAGCGTATTCAATTTCTTCAACTTGGAAAAGTAGGAGGTTAGGCTATAGTTCTTTGAGGAGTATAGGAGCTTTTAAAGTAGCTGATGAACATGCTTTGACTTCTGAAAAACAAGAGAAACAACATCAAGTCGATCCACTGGGGTCATGTATCGGGCTTGGTCGGACTGGTCTTTCCCAAGCTCACCCCGCGAAGGTATTGATGATGTATTTAGCAATTGAATAGGTATTGGAGTAGGACTTCCAGAATTAACTGTTCAATCATCTATAAGTACTCGGTTGGAGTTCCACCCTAATTAGGGTGGTTTCGGGTTTAGGGTTTAGACGGCTGTCTATCCATGCAATGCATGGATCGAAACTAAACTACCTCAACATGGAACTCCTAGTTGATGTTCCATCCACTGGAATTTACATCAGGAGTTTGTACACTGAGGATTGGTGGCGAAGGATAAGCTGTTGCAGGTGTCAAACTTCTTGGATGCGGTCGCGGTGCACAATGGAGATGCTCGCACGACGAGTTTAGGTCCAAGCCCCACTGCCAAGTAGAAAAGTTGTTTGGCAAAACATGAGTTTTTGCGGCAGGTATCACTTTGCCTACTAAAAGCTATAGTTTGGGACATTGGAGATGATCTATCCCAGGTGATGGTGGTAGTTTGTGGTAATATACATGTTTTGCATTTAGGAAGGATGATTGCCTTCACTGCGAGAGTAGACTCCCGAAACTTGGTGTTTGTATGGTCTAAGGGGATCATTGAAAAGACCTATTTCTGGATCAAAGAAGATGTTTTTTAATGATTGCCCCCTGATTGTCCCTGACACTGTCCAGTAATGGCACTGTATGTGTGTTATCCATGGCACTAGTGTTCTTGGCCTTCTCTAAAGTCATTGTTCCGAGCTTTGATTCGGAGGTCATTATGTGTGGTATCCATATGTATATGGTTGTCGATCTAAAGGTCCTAGACAGCATTGTGTATGACGATGACCCGGAACATATCAACATCTCATTTGGCGAAAGTTTTTTCTCGAGTTGGCGAAAATAACAACTTTTTTGGCGAAAGATCTGGCGAAAGATTAAGTATGCACCTTTGCATGAATGTTCATTTGCTTCCTGAACAGCACTACTACTATTACTACTACTACTACTACTACTACTACTACTACTACTACTACTACTACTACTACTATTCCTGCTCCTGCTTTGGGTGGGTGGCTTTGCCACAAAACTCTACCCCGCAAAAGGCGAAAGTTTGCGAAAGTTCAGCTCAAGATTGGCGTAAGTTCACCCTGCCACATCTGACCCCCAGCCCATTATGATCAAGTTTGAGTGACCGGCTACTACAGTGATTCTTGCAATTTTTATTCTTGCTGACACCCAGGAGAAACAAAAGAGACGTACAGGGTGTCAACAGTTAAGTAGAAGACACATGCTGACAAACAGTGAAGTTTCTATTTTGTGTTTGCCAGTAAAGAAGAAGCCATTGACGTGAACAAAACACAACATACATGGCACACATGAATACAACGTACTTTGGCGAAAGATAAAACGCAGGAAGGCGAAAGTTTGGCTAAAGTATATATATAGTTCTTTTGGCGAAAATGACGGATCCCGGATAAAGGAATTTAGATCAACTCCCATATATGAATGGCACAACACAACAGTGGCCATTTCTTTTGCCCCGACAGATTCACGAGGACCACTTGACTGCTATTGCCGAAGGGGCCAGGGTGGCTGCCACAGAGTTCGCCTTTGCCTTGTGGTCTTCAGGGAGTCCGGTGGTCACATGGGGTGCTCCTGAATACGGCGGAGACAGCAGCAACTCGGAAGGAGCACCAACACGTCGGCACCACCAAACGCTCGGCCTATCATTTTTTTTTGTGCGGCGCCTTCTCCCTGTTGCATGACATCTGACTGGAAAACTGTATAAGAGACTGTATGATTCCTAGAATGTTTGATGGTGCCAGGTTGGAGAATGTAGCTTTGTTGGGTTTTAATCGGTCGAATCGGTCTTCGACCACGACTTTTGGGCACACAGGGATAGAAACATTAAAGTCAGTAATTCACCTAGCTAATTGGTAGAAAGATGAATAAACCCAATCGATGAAACAAATTAAATGTTAAGAGACCACAGAGGATTTT